ATTTTACGGTAATGCTATATGTTAGGTTTACTTATATCTTATAATGATATATAATATGGCATTTGTACATAATAAATTTATATATGCATGTATTTATGTTTAAATATAAATAAATGTATAGATACTTAAACAATACTGAAGGCATGCTTAATGTTTTCAATATCATTAATGCTGTAGTGTTTAATTATTAGGCCTATTTATTTAGTAATACAAATGCAGTAATACATCTACAGTAAAAATAATAATAGTAAAACTAATTAACGATGTGTTGCACATCATCATCAGGTAATAATGCTTATGCTACTACCAGATTATATACTCCCGGTCATGAGAAATTAGCAAATACAAAGGTACATGATTTGACTTAGTATTTGCTTATTTTTCGTACCGGTAGTAGCAAAGCACTATTGCCTGATGATGACATGTGAAATGTTGAAACGTGTCGTTAATTAGTTTCATATATTATTTATTTCTATTATTATTATTATTTCATAAACGAGTAAATAAGTGCCTTTGTGTTTACAACATTTTTTAAGGCTTTAGAGCGGCACTTATTCGAGAGAGGAACTTATTCGGTAGTGCCCTCATTGATAATTATGGAGTGGTGTTGTTTACCATCTGATTTGTTACAACATATGCCAGTACCGTATTAAAATGATTGAATAACCGCCGCTTAATTAAGAGTATATATTACCATGTATGTAATGAAACAGGGTTTTAAATACAAGTATATAGTTTTAAAATGAATAAATTACACAATGAAGACACAAGCTTTCTTTATAAACACTTGTTTACGATGAAAGGCCTACTAAATTACGGGAATACATGAAATAGGTTAACATGGAAACTGGCATAGAAAGTGCCAAGCCAATATTTCTTATAAGCGCCACTCTCGAATAAGCGCCGCTCTGAAGGCTCCAAAAATTTCATAAGCACTGTGGCGCTTATTGGAGCATTTTCAGTATTAATTAGTATGGGAGAAATTGGTTGGTTAATTTCAATGATATAATGCTGTAATATCAATTCTTGTTAGGAAATATAATGCCGTCTTGATCAGGCACTGTGATACCTATTTGAAATAGCATATATTTCTAAAATGTTTATATTTTGATTGGTCAACCTTTCAGTTTTTAAATGAGTTATTGGTGATATTATCTAGTTTTCGGTGTCCAATTTTTGTTTTATTGCATATTATTTTACCATAATTAATATTGCTATTTTTGTATTGTATTGGCTTATTTTATTTTGTATACCATTATATTTTTATTAGAACCCTGTATTTAGTGTTTTTATACACTATGCGTGTTAAAATATATAAATAAAAAATAAGTGTTACAGTGGCTATACTCACTAAAATTAATCACTTTTTGTGCGGTGCATATTCAATGGCCATGGCTATTCGAGAGAAGCACTTATTTTATCATTTTTTCATTGTTATAATTATTATTGTTATTACTTTATTATTATTATTATTATTGTTATACATTTTAAATGTGAATGTATTATTTTAATAATAATTATTCTTGTTTATTTTAATTTTTTTATTACAGTATGTTTCAAAATATAAATCAGTTGTAACTGAATAAGAATGTTTTAAAAAATGAAAATTTAGCAATAATAATTAAGATAATTATTTCGTCTGGTGAAATATTTGTGTTAAAATTACAGTACATAAAATATTGCTTCATAGATGATTATTATGCTGTTCGGTGTTCAAAATGCAATTGTGAAAGTAGACCCAATGTAATTACCGTAAGTATCGATTTAATTCAGAATAGTATTATAGGCCTAATGGATGTCTATTACTTTAGTTTGTATTGTCAAAATTCTTGCACAAAATTCATTCGTAGGTTACTATTATGAATATCAAATGACAGACACAGAGGGAGGGATGCAACATGTTTCACATTTCTACCCCCTGTGTTCTACTATTATTACATATTTTAACCAATAATAAATTCCAAACCTGCACGACCTCGTCATCAGGAGACTAATGTCTGGAGTGTCCAAACAGGGAAATTCATTTCACTGTTTGTACTCTGAACAAACAACAGTTTTTATCAGAACACTTGGTGTACAGCAAGCAGTTTGTTTTTCTTTAGTAATTACTATTATTGTAATTTCTAAAACAGAAAGAGTTACAGCCCACAATTTGTCTACTGAACGGTAGTTTTTTCGTATTTGTTCAGAACTCTGTATATACATCACGCCTGCTTGCTTTTCCGGTCTTTTCTTCAGTGGAACGAGTAAAGTAGTCTAACCATGCAAACCATGTTAATTTGATTAACCCTTAATAATAATTACGTCAATTCAACTATACTGATGTGTGAATCGAAAGTTAGTTATCTCGTCTTACTATAGGTTTTGTACTTGGTGTTTGGTATTATAAGTTTTGTACAAGTTTTGTGGTAAGTTATTATGCAATGTAAAACAGTATATTATTTTCAAAATTCCCCCACACGGAATCATATGATTTAGAACTATTCACATTTGGTTTTATTCTAAATCTGCTCGTGGGGTGACAGTTGAGCATCAT